GCCGCACAAAACATTTCCCGGGGGTGTTGTGTAGGCGACCCCGGCTGGGGGCAGCGCAACCCCCCGACCGTGTTCTACACGTCAAATGACCACTTTACACCAATGTGAGGCCTAATGATGAAATATGGGACTGCTGGGACCCGTTGAATCATTGGAATTCTGTACTACAGAGGATGGATGGTCACCAAACGCGCTTATCTATTGTTATGTTGGGCGTTAAATGTAATAAAGTGACTTTTACTGTCGACCTTTACCATATTTTTAAGACATAAGGCGCGAGAGTCCATCTTTTATAAGAGTCGTAGTTTTATAGGTATATGCGCCATATTTATCGATTAGGAGTGATATCATAGATAGTCGACTTGCAAGCACATATCTCAACAAACACGACTTTTAGTTACTCCGGCGAAATCGAGAAAGAAAAATCTCTAATTCGTTTTCCGTATGTAGTCGTAATGTAGACTACAGGCAACGTTTTATTGGTTTAACAGCTCTGTGTAGTTATTATTTACGAAATATTTGATCCATTTTCTCGAGAATGTAGAATTTTGTTGAAGTTAAAACTAGTTAACTTACAGATTGATTTTTAACACGAGATATTTTCGAAATATAATTAGACTGGACCCTGTAAATAAGCTACAAAATTATTACAATCCGAAATTTTCCAGGTATTTTTTTGTAAATTATGTAAAGATTTTTCAGAAATTCTTAACATTTCGGCCTCCAGTTCTGTTTTTTTTTTTTTTCTTAAATTGCACAATATCATAATTTCTTTCTAGATAAACCATAACCTTTAATATAACTTGTTTGGTTTGATCACTAAATCGTGTCATTTTTCAGAATTAGGTTATTTAACGTTACACCATAGATTCTGTTTAACAGATAATTCTGATAACAAAATTCAAAATTTGACATAAAATTTCTACGATATGCACAAAATTTGTTAATTTTTTTTTCACACACGAAGTGCATAAGATATAAAGAGGAAAAGTTTTACCTGGGGTATTTTAACCACTATAATTTCCATTTACCCACTATTCCGGGACAATTTTATTTTATTGAGTAAATAATAGGGTATCTGCACTTCTTAGAAACTAGAGACATTTGAAGAAACAAATCTGCATTAAAGTCAAAATGGATTTCTGCTACTAAGTAGTAACTGTGAACTAAATAGAATACAGAATTCTTCAGATACTCCCGTTTTCAAATTGCTGGTTGCTTTTCCAACTCTACAAACATTTTGTTTAGACTTTCTTTCCTTTAATTGAGGTACTTAATATAATCATTGCATCTTTACATGTTTAACAATATTTTAATCACACCCAAAAATATTCTGAGATGTTTTTATTCTACAACAATTTAGGTGAATTTCCTTTCTTAATTTTAACATTATTGCCACGTGGACGAGTGTGGAGTAACTAGAAAGTACCTAATAGATATTTCAAGAAAAGACAGTAGTTCTTTACAAATATGTAGTTTTCATGAATGTAGAGTCGAAAAAATCCGGATTTTAAAAAAATAAAGAATTATTTTTTTGAAGAAACTGTTTCCCTGGAGCAGTTTCCTAAACCATTTTATCAGAAAAACGAGATTTTTAAAAGATTTACGAAAGCAAGAAATCCGTGAACTCATTCCGTGTAAACTCTTGCGGCAAGCCGGGACACAATAATCGATTTTTCTGTGACAACATTTATAAAAAAGTTAAGTAAGTATACTAAAATAAATACTTAATTAAATTATCAAAAATTAAGTAACGATTTCCTCTGATCTAAAGAATGATACATTTTATCTTATATTTTATTAACAGCTTGATCTTTGCGATAACATCACATAGTTAATACAATATGAAATATGACAGCTCAAGTCTATAAATAATAGAATAGAAATTTATTTAAAATAGATATTGACGTCGATGATCGTCAAATAGATACGGACATCGATCGATTTTTAATTAATTTCATAGTAAATCCGTATTACTTACACCACACAAAAAAACGGGTCGAACTTTATCGTGAGGGAACTTTCTTCGCGCCTGAAGTACAGTCAAACAAATCCTGCTTCTTTGAAAATTTGATTTGTGATAACCTCTATTAAGTAAAAACCAGTAGCGTAAATAACGCGAATTCACGCAAATTCCAAAGAGGCGCAGTCCGCATAAGCGCGGGGTATATAAAATATATTTCAAACAGATAACTGATGGGAAAAAGTGTACTCTCAGTAATAAGATGCTAGCCTTCGAGTGTTTATGATTATACTTGGAGAAAATTCCATCAAATTGATTATTCAAAAAGATGTCATAATGTGGTGGTGCCCCATCCTGTTGGAACCAAATTCTGCGATCTAAATTTTGTGGATCAGGAAACGTAGCAATTAGACCGGAAGCACCGCGATTGTAAGATGATCTAAATATCGATCTGCTGTTAAATTTCCGTAAAAAAGTAGGGACCAATGAAGCTTCTATTTATTATCCCTCCCAAACATTAATTTTTTGGGTAGGTTAGGTGTGTTTTACTTGAACCCAATTGTCGTCACAATGTCTGTTAAGATCATCTTCTGATAGTTCATGAATCAGTTAAAAGGTTTGAACAATAACAATAATAATAATAAACAAATACAGGCGGATTCATAAAGCAAAGATAAGTGTAGGAGTACACTATTTTATGAATTTTAGGCTGTGTTTATTGTACAAAAATTTTGAGGGCCAGCACGTTGTTGTCGCGGATGATTAGACAAGTTTTGGTTAGAAAAAACGGATAGACGGAAACGGAGACCTATTTTTTCGCACTCTAGGGTCACGGAACGTCGAGAAAACATAAATCAAGCCAGTCGCCCGATGGAATCGATCACAATATTTCCCTAGCTTACGTACGGGAACTGAGAATATTTTCTACGAAGTTATATCAGTTGATGTTTTTGCACAAATTGTTGCTGCCTGAACTAAACAAACCTCGTCATTGCCTACTGAACTCGATCTTTCACTCTGACTGGATAATTTTCAGTCTCGAACAAAATAGTACCTATTGTTATTAATATCCTTCTAAAATAAAGCCTATTTGTTTTATATATTATATCTTTAATTTTAGTGGTTTGGAAAAAATCGTTTGCACATCTGCACTGAAATTCAGACTTAAATTTTCATGATAAAAATGCAAAGAAATGGTCTAAAGTTGTTTAAACAAAACTTCTAATTAAAGTAATTTATTGTTTTCCTGTTATGGTAATCCCTACGACTAAAACCTACAGGCAAAAGATCATGCTATGCGTATGCTTCAAGTGAGTCATTCTTTATTAGAGACAATTAATATATCACTTTTGATAGGTATTTTGTTCAGGTGTTTCAGTATTGTGTTACCAGAATTTCAAGAAATAAATGATCTAAAGTTATTTAGACAAACCATCCTTCGTCCCTGAAATATAGCCCAACAAATCCAGCTTCTTCGAAAAATTATACAAATTGATTTTGCGAAATTTTGTTTATTTTTTGATAACAATTTTAAGCTTAAATACATATGTAATATTAGTTACAGTGTAAGAAAAAATTGGCGTATGAAAGGACCGAACCCGCGACCGTTGCAATATTGTCACGCGTTCAAACGAACTCCACTATGACCAGTCGTTGAATGTTTGCCCCTTATGTTGTTGATTTTCTGGGAAAAATCTGGATGCCTTTGTTAAAACTCAAGGCAGATTAATAAACTGCAAGTACATCTTTATTTAGTTGACTAGCGTTATTATTAAGTATGTATACACTTATAGTACAACTAATACAAAATTTAATTACTCGTTTACATATAAATTAAGTATATTTACATATAAACTCTGTCTACTGATAGAAAAAAGAAAATGTATGTTCGTTACAATCCGAAGTGTAGTTTAACGTTCAGTGTCAGTGTTTAAACTCATCACACAAAAAAATACTGGTGCCATCAACATCGATTATGTTAGGTGTCTAATGCATTTATTTCTATGTGTCTGGAGCGATTCTGTCCACTGATAATCAATCACATCATGGAAGTGATCACGAATGACGAACATACATGTTTGATGAGGTGCGTGCTGATTGCTATTGGAAACACGCATAGCTATTGGACGATGTAATTCTGCGTCGATCTGCTATACCTATTATCTAAAATGTACTGCAACAATCATTTTTCTGTTCAATTGCTGATAAGCTTCGTGTATTACAAAATTGGATTAGGGAATACACAGGCACATTACACTCATACTGCCGGTGCGCACTATTCTAACTGTGAGAATTATCTGAGAAGTAACGACCAGAACTTTATTACTGAAATGTTGCAGTCGCTGAAATGAAAGAGTGTATAATAAATTTGTAGCAAGCATGTTTGGATATAAAGTCACAAAACAAAGGAAATTTTGTCAAAGTAAACTGTAAGTGTGGAATTCTAAAGTTCAGTTTATGATATATGAAACTATTTAAAAAGATACGAATTTTGTCCATCATTTTAAATTAAGGAAATGTTCGTAGATCTCTTTATTTACCGCGTGATCTGAAATGACCGATTCTGTTGGAAATCCTAATTTAATTTGCAAAATATATCCAAAACATAACCTAAATTTATCTAATGTCACGATCACGACTCACGACTGACATATCTGTCACACAATTACTTCCGTTATGCCAACATAAACACAAGAAAAGTTCACATTTTTGTTTAAAAAGTACTGACAGCCATTTCTGATTACGCGGTATTATATTAATTACGCTTATTATTATATATTCATAATTTTTTTTAATAATACTTTTGTGAAACATGACTTAGAACAAGTGTCCTTCTAACTTAAGTCCATCACCTACAACATATTTACTCTCGTATCGTAATATCCTGCACCACATACAACAGCAAATGTAAATCGAATTTCGTCTTTAATCCAGTTTTGAAAACAACTTTATACCCAACATTTGTAACAGCCCACGACTTGTTTATTTACGCTCGATGGAAATGCCGAGTGAAATAAATCATTCCTTTTATTTTCAGATGGGTCACATGGACGGCCTGGAAATGTTAGACCCCATATCAACGTCGTCGATGACGACCCTGACGCCCATGTCCGAAACATCAACCCACATGCACTCGTACGGCATGAATCATGTAATGAACCACCACCACCACGGCGGCCCTTTATCGGGCCATAGCGCCCCCGGCCACCACCCCGGCCACCACGGGGGTCACCCGGGCGCCCACCACCCCGCCATGGCGGCCGCGGCGGCGGCGGCAGCCGTGGCCGGCCTCCACCCCGACGCCGACACGGACCCGCGGGAGCTCGAGGCCTTCGCCGAGCGCTTCAAGCAGCGGCGGATCAAGCTGGGAGTGACGCAGGCCGACGTGGGGAAAGCGCTCGCCAACCTCAAGCTGCCGGGGGTCGGCGCCCTCTCGCAGTCGACGATATGCCGCTTCGAATCGCTCACCCTCTCCCACAACAACATGATCGCGCTGAAGCCCATCCTGCAAGCGTGGCTGGAGGAGGCCGAGGCGCAAGCCAAGAACAAGAGGAGGGACCCAGACGCGCCCAGCGTCCTACCAGCCGGAGAGAAGAAGCGCAAGCGGACGTCGATAGCGGCGCCGGAGAAGAGGAGTCTGGAGGCCTACTTCGCCGTGCAGCCGAGACCCTCGGGGGAGAAGATAGCGGCGATAGCGGAGAAACTCGACCTGAAGAAGAACGTTGTGAGGGTTTGGTTTTGTAATCAGAGGCAAAAACAGAAGAGGATGAAGTTCGCGGCGCAACACTGACCGGATGTTAATTTCGGGTTTCCTGTGAATTAGTGAACATTCATTAACGGCTGAGTTGCGGACAAGAGAAATTGCTGGAATCCCTGCTTGTGTTCTCTCGGCAATATTCTGGCAAATATGCTCAAAGCACTGTATATATTAGAAGAACACTTCGTACCTTTAAGGGGTTCTGAACGAGGAACAGCTTCAAATATGTATGTGAATGGGTCGTTCAATTTTTTTAGAGGTCTAATTTTAGGCTGCGTATTGAATTACGTTATTTAGTCCAGGAGAAAAAATTAGGTACGTTTTAAAAGATATACTCACACAAAAAAGTTATTAATTATGTTACAATGCGATGCATGTTTCTTTCAGAATTTTCAGTCAACTCTTCGTTTCAAAAAATATAATTATTAAAAAAAACTAATTACTTTACTCTGGTATTAAAATAATAATGGGCTCTGTTAAGCACTAAATTAAATTCTACCTAACAGTGATATTTCTCACTTGTATGAACTTTGATTACATGAACAACATTGTAGTAAACTTTCACTGAGGAGCTTTTGAAACATGTTACATTATATTTCAATAATGTCGCGTAATAATCAGGGATAAACATTCTGATATTTTTACTTATAGATAGTGAAATTCTTGCAATCACGATATTCTAGCTTTGACGATGATATCAATATTCTAGTTAACATTTTGTTTAAAAGCTCTTTAAATTCAGCGCACTCCCAAAAATACGTTGTAAACGAATTGTGGAAAATTTCAAACAATTGGGAACTAGATAAGTCAATTGCAAAAAATATCGTAACAAGCGAAAATTAATTGGCATTAATATACTAGGTTGAAGCTGTTTCTTTCTAGAAGTCCCGTTGTAACATACTTCATAGTACAATTTTTATACAAAGTTAATAATTCACGTCACTATCCTCTAGGCTCTAGAACTAAGTCATTGTAAACTGTAAATACTCTAGTCAGTTCGCAGAATAGTCATTGTATAGTTCAATGGACCATAATAGCACACAACAGTATTAAAAAGAAATTTTATCAGTATTTTGGTCTCAAAGTGATATTATTTGTTCGCGTACGAATTATTTAAAGTGCAATATATTTTAGGCAATATTATGTATATTTGATGCTATGTAAATATTTTTGTTAAGTTATATTTAATAGACTTTGTTCCAGTGTAAGCAATAATATACCTTAGTCATTATAAAACCCGCGCTCACCCTAACAGATGAACTTAAGAATCCTTGTTACAGGGTAAAGAAAACATATCACGTTTACAACAAAATACCTATGACATATCAATGAAAAATAAAAGTCATTTACTTTAGTCGTATTTATGTATAAATTATCAAGGAATGACTTCTCTTTTTGCCGTAAGCAATAATACTGTTCGTGTATTATTTGAAACTTTCAATTTTTTTTTCAAGATTTATATGTAAGTACGACTGCTTGCATTTTGTAAATAAAAAGACATTTGTAAATATAGTCCATTCCAAAGAGTGTTAGAAACTTTTTAAATATATATGATAGTATAAATTAAATTCAAAGGTTTCGAGACAACTGAACAATTTTTAAATGATACTGTGAATAACCGCTTCCTATATAATTTTATTTTATTGGATTGTATAAATATAGGCCTGGAAATGGTAAAAGTTGTACTTTTTTATTGGTCCTATTGTAAAAACTTTCTATAGTTGAGTCATGTAATAACAGTACAGTCAATAAATCTTGGTGTTACACTACGTGCTGTTTTATTCAGACGGTACTTGAGGTTACTCTTTATTCATTTATTTTTATTTCTTGTTTATCTTTATGCCCAACGTATGTGGTTTTATAAATAAATAAAATGAATTTTGCATTTATATTTTTTTATTTTAACTCGGCTTTGAAAATATAAGTTCTAATTTCATTCCCAGTGGAAAAATCTATAAAAATGATTGAATTAGCGACATCCAGTTATTCATTATACATTAGGTAAAACAAATTATTAGTGTTTGAAAAATTCTAGTTCAAGGTAAGTATAATGTCTATATATAAAAATTTACAGTTTAGACATAATTGGCGTGGATGTTTTTTTTTCACCATTTTGGTAGTAATTTTTTTCATGCAATTTTTTAATATAACTTGCTTCATATTCTCTTGTGCAGTTTACTGCGAATGGGATTGTTTAGTATAAAGTACGTACCTAACTCAGAAATTTAGCTTAAATACTTTGCCAAAACTTCATCACTCATTGATGGAATTTGAATTTTAGCTGATGACATATAAAAAAAAGGGTCAAATAAGGTAATTATTTATAATTGCAGCCCACACATTAATCAAAAAAACAGGTTAAAGCAGTGTTTCAACGGGGCATAAATATTTTGCGCCATTCCCATGCCGTTACATCAATTATGTAAATCGAAACACTGCACTAGAATCAAATCAAACTCTTGAAAAGAGTCACAGTTTAGGGTATTTACAAATATTGCCACCGAATCAAGATTTGTCCAAAAAATAAAGACACTTTATCTTTATTGTTTTTATGTTGTTATTAAAGAATAAAGGTATCATCCCTTTTCCCACTACTTTTTCTGGAGGATGGTTCATTTATTCAAATTCTGACTGCCGTGGATAAATTTTTCTCACAATTCTGACCTATCGCTTTAATTAAAGTACCTATTTAGCATTTTTAATCGAGGTAATAGGCACTTGAAAATTATAATTATGAAAACTTATAAGACATAATTATTTTTTAAAAGACGATAATTAGAAGTCAATGGGATTTAACTGTTTTCTTCGCTTGTCTTTTCCTCGTTGATACTACACGTCGTCCACTTTTCAATTTTTCGGGTCACTGATGTTGTAAAATCATAGAAATTACAAGAGAGCTAAAATTATAACTTAAATATTTCTTATAATTCATACTATAATTTTAGCAGTTGTAATTTTACAATTTTATTAATTTTTGTGCCGAAGGATTATTTATAACAATTACTCACTGCTAGGTGAACTACAGGAGAATTTGGAATAGTAGAAATAATAAACTACTCCAAAATTAAGAAATCCTTGCAAGCTATTTCTCAACTAACTACATAGTTCTCAGACTTATGTCAGATTCTCTGTTCTAATAAAAATATCAAAATATAAACGAAAATGAAAGAAGATATCTAGTTACATCTATAAAATCCACCTAAGAGCGAAGTTTCCTTAAAGTTTCCGTTTAAGAAGTTGTACGTTATTCTAATAACTTCTGTGTTGAGGAAGTTCAACTTGTTGAAATCATATACTAGCTAACAAAAGTTTATTCAACTCGAATTCAAAATATTTATGCATCACACAAATAAATAATTGTGCGGTTATCGATCGTTAAAGCATTCTTTGTCTTATCGTAATTCATTTTCTGTCTTTCTATATATTTTTTTAATAATAGGACAATTTTGAACTCACCTCTATGCAGTCTATTCTTACGAAAGGTCTTCATTTGAATGTTTCTCTCTTAATTAACCGGAATCCTTCATTAGTTAAAAGATGCTTAACAAAAAATATTTCTAGGCTCGCACAGCTCAGGTTCACCATGTTCAGTTACCACTAAAACAATCTATAGATCATTCACATTCATTTTAGGGTGAAGAGTTATAAATTACTTATTACACTACAGTTCTTTATATAAGCTTTGAGCTTAAGATGGCCGTGTAGATACAGAGAATAACTATAAAGTTTAAGGTGTTTCTGTAAATTTTAATTCCTATACTTGATCATTTTAATGTAACCACCATTCAAATGTGGTTTACCTATGCCTAATGATATAATTAGAAACATCCCACGTGACGGACATGTTAGATTTGAGCGGTTATAAAAACTTGTTGAGGTTTATATATTAATCATTCGTTATAAGATATTCAACTAAATTTGTATCTCGGCCAGATCAGGTCACAATAATCTATCACTTTCACTTCCTTTAGTATGACATATTTGAGTTGGGATTCGCGTTATAGGTGTATCCCTAGTAATTCTTAGTTGACAATCATCTTCCTAAAGGTAATTTACTAATATTGTGCAATTTAAACTAATCAAATCAGAAATCTTATCGTTATATCTTAGACTATAGGGTTTTTATATTAATTCTAGCTCCCGTCTTTTACTGAAAACTTATTTTTTGTTACAGGAGAGACGAAATTTACGTCCCAAGTAAGCAACTTCTTGTAAGAAGTCAATCGCCTCAACGGGGGTACGAAATATACTTACAGTTTACTTCGCTTCTCCCCTTTTTAATAAATTTTTACAATTTCAAATAAAAAAGAGTTGCCTATAAAGATGGCTTGTGGTTAGGTGCCGTAGTCGAAAAGGGGCGATCTGTTCATCACAACCCATTGTTTCTGATCTCCTAGGTGGTAGGGCACAACTTTTGGAAACCAGTATGGTCCCGGCATCATCAAGATAATCTTCACAAGTCTTGCTAGGTAGATAAAGAAAAAAAAGTTAGTGTTAGTTTTTTAAATTGCATCAACTCTAAATTGGTCGACTATCACATTCCATTACTTCTCTTTTTCGATAGTGTTCGATTTCTTCATTATTTTTTCTAATTTCGTAGCTGTACTAAGAGAAGTTAAAATCTGTACCTTTTTGGAATCTGAAATCAATTTCTTTTTTCGCTTGATCTTCAAAATCTAAAGTCTGGGGATTTTTGCTAGGAAAAGGGAACTAGATGTAGGGGGATCAGCAATTGCCACCTAGACTAGGAGAAAGTTTGCCTTTGTTTGATAACTCCATCAGATCCGGAAAAAATATTTCTCGGTAACCTACCTAAGATGAGTCTATGGAAAAGGACTGATATTTTGTCGTTCTGCGTCGCCCGTTCAATTAAGCTCAACGTTGGGAATAATAGAAGAATATCGTTTTTAGAAGAGTTCACTAAAACAGTTTTGTTGGTCAATTTCTCTTCTCAAGAATGCGCCCTACGAGTGGTACGAATTAGTGTGTGTGGAAATCTAGACTAAAATATGTGTATTCTAAACCGCCAACAGCGTAATCACCAGAAGAATTGATTCACCCTGTAGTAACTGGACTGTTTTCAAAACCCGGCACCAGGAACTTAGTCCTAGACGAGTCGTTTCACCTGGACTCCCTTTATGTCCGCTACAACCGTCAGCCATTAAAACGGTTAGTATAAAACTACCCTAGCTCTAACTTTCAGGACTATAAAGAAGGGCAGTTCCGCACAGATTTTTACGATCCTGCGCTAAGGATTTAGTCCTACTCTGACCAACTGCCCTTCAGTGCCAGCTTTGCTGTCTTAAAAAAGACTCCACCCTTATCCACAACTCTAGGGACGTTTTTGGTACAGGTTTATTTTCGGGCCTAGAGATATTCCGATAACAAAATAAATAAAATATAAAAAATCTTCTCCTAACTGGACTAGGTTCTTTAATAATAATAAAATGTGGCACTGATTGATTTCAATAATAAGCTTTATGTGATAACAATACAGCGTGTTATTGAAAGGTACGTACAAAATAAAATCGCCAATTGGTCTCGAAGTATGGGTGCTAAAAGTAAAAAAAAGTTCAGATAAAAGTGTTCTCCTTTTAGAGAAAAATATTATTAAAA